CAGCCGCGGACACACCGCTTAGACGTTATCTATCCTATATGGCGTAGACGTTATTTATCCTATCCTCGCTGCACCCTCAAGTTATCACCTTACGACGGCAGCGAAATACGGTAAGCTGCTAGCGTCGCACCGTTGGGTGATCTTCCTCGGCGAGGTACGTCGCACCGTTGGGTGATCTTCCTCGGCGAATATCGCATTGGGTGATCTTCCGCGGCGATTCGTCGCACCGTTGGGTGATCTTCCACGGCGATTCGTCGCACCGTTGGGTGATCTTCGGTCTTGATATGCGGCTGCGATGGACCACAAAATTGTGGGGTACACAATTAAAAGGTCTTCAATTTTCTAAATGTGTGGACTGTATTTCAATTTGTTTCTTATTCTAGGGTCGGCCGGCCGGATGGGGTTTTCTTGGTCGTTGCGCCGGCGGTGTTCTTCGTCGGTGGCGTATGCGTAAGAGAGCGCGATCGAGAACCAATTTTACGGGCGCCCGAGCGCGTCCTTCCCCACCCCCGCCGAGCCGTGCGCGTCGGCCGTCCCACCCTCCCGACAATTCCTGCACATGTCGGTGACCGACGGGCCGGAACAGCGAATACGCACACATTTAAAATTAAATACAATAGTAACAACACAAAAAACTACAAAAAACCACGTGCGACTAAATGCCACATGTTCAGGCTACACTAAAGCTGTGATCCCTAAGAATTTACACAATGGGCGGACATAGAATTCACAGTTTATGCCGCTACAAAGGGTAATTACAAACAATAGTCTAACCTAAACAATAGTCAAAACACTGGAAAAATACAAATTTATACACAAATTTGTTTACATTTTTCATGCCGACTCGCGGTCACATCACATTCACTTCATTGACTACATTCATTTCGTTCATATATTGACTTCAATCACTCGTTGACTTCATTCACATCATTCATTTATTGACTTCAACCACTTCATTGACTTCAATCACTTCAATGACTTCAATCACTTTATTGGCTTCGATCGAATCATTGACTTCATCCACTTTATTGATTTCATTGAAATCATTCGTTTCATTGACTTCATTCACGCCATTGACTTCAATCACTTCTTTGACTTCAATCACTTCATTGACTTCAATCACTTCCTTGACTTCAATCACTTCTTTGACTTCAATCACTTCATTGACTTCAATCACTTCATTGACTTCATTGACTTCATTGACTTCAATCACTTCTTTGACTTCAATCACTTCATTGACTTCTTTCACTTCAATCACTTCCTTTACTTTAACCACTTCATTGACTTCATCACTTCATTGACTTCAATCACTTCATTAACATCAATCACTTCATTGACTTCAATCACTTCGTTATCTTCAATCACATCGTTGACTTCAATCACTTTACCATTTCATTCACTTAATTGATTTCATTGAAATCATACGTTTCATTGACTCCATTCACGTCATTGACTTCCATCACTACGTTGACTTCAATCACTTTATCGACTTCGATCACTTCATTGACTTCAATCATTCATTCCATTCAATCGATTCATTGACTTCATTCACTTCATTCATTTCATTCACTTCATTGGCTTCATTCACTCCATTAACTTCATTCACTTCATTCGCTTTATTCACTTCATTGACTTCATTCATTGAAATCAATAAACTGATTCAATGACGTGAATTCAACGAAGAGATCCATTCAATGAAGTGAAAGAAGTTAATGAAGTTAATGAAGCCATGAAGTCAATGAAACCAATGAAGTGAATGAAGTCAATGAATCGATTCCATGAAGTCCATTGAAGTCAATGAAACCGAATAAATTTCATTAATTTCATTAATTTCATTAATTTCATTAATTTCATTCATTCATTCATTTCATTCACATCATTCATTTCGTTCATTTCATTCATTTCATCATTTCATCATTTCATCTTTTCTTCATTTCATCATTTCATCATTTCATTCATTTCATTCATTTCAATCATTTCATTCGTTTCATTCATTTCATTCAATTCAATCGTTTCATTCATTTCATTCATTTCACTCATTTTACGTTTCGGTCGTTTCGGTCGTTTCATTCGTTTCAATCGTTTCATTCTTTTCATTAATTTCATTCATTTCATTCATTTCTCACTTCAAATCATTCACATCATTGACTTCAATCACTTTATTGACTTCAATCACTTTATTGACTTCAATCACTTTGTTGACTTCAATCACTTATTGACTTCAATCACTTCGTTGACTTCATTCACATCATCATTTATTGACTTCAATCACTTCGTTGACTTCAATCACGTCATAGACTTCAATCACTTTATTGACTTCAATCACTTCGTTGACTTCAATCACTTCGTTAACTTCAATCACTTTATTGGCTTCAATCGATTCATTGACTTCATTTACTTCATTAACTTCATTAACTCATTTCAGTCATTTCAGTTATTTCAGTCATTTCATTCGTTTCAGTCATTTCATTCGTTTCATACGTTTCAGTCGTTTCAGTCGTTTAAGTCGTTTCGGTCGTTTCAGTCGGTTTAGTCGTTTCAGTCGTTTCAGTCGTTTCATTCGTTTCATTCGTTTCATTCTTTTCATTCATTTCATTCGTTTCAGTCGCTTCAGGCGCTTCAGTCGGTTTAGTCGTTTCAGTCGTTTCAGTCGTTTCAGTCGTTTCATTCTTTTCATTCATTTCATTCATTTCATTCATTTCATTCATTTCATTCATTTCATTCATTCATTACATTCATTTCATTCATTACATTCATTTCATTCATTTCATTCATTTCATTCATTTCATTCATTTCATTCATTTCATTCATTTCATTCATTTCATTCATTTCATTCATTTCATTCATTTCATTCATTTCATTCATTTCATTCATTTCATTCATTTCATTCATTTCATTCATTTCATTCATTTCATTCATTTCATTCATTTCATTCATTTCATTCATTTCATTCATTTCATTCATTTCATTCATTTCATTCATTTCATTCATTTCATTCATTTCATTCATTTCATTCATTTCATTCATTTCATTCATTTCTCACTTCAAATCATTCACATCATTGACTTTAATCACGTCATTGACTTCAATCACTTCGTTGACTTCAATCACTTCGTTGACTTCATTCACATCATCATTTATTGACTTCAATCACTTCGTTGACTTCAATCACGTCATAGACTTCAATCACTTTATTGACTTCAATCACTTCGTTGATTTCAATCACTTCGTTGATTTCAATCACTTCGTTGACTTCAATCACTTCGTTGACTTCAATCACTTCGTTGACTTCAATCACTTTATTGGCTTCAATCGATTCATTGACTTCATTCACTTCATTAACTTCATTAACTCATTTCAGTCGTTTCAGTCATTTCAGTCATTTCATTCGTTTCATTCGTTTCATTCGTTTCATACGTTTCAGTCATTTCAGTCATGTCAGTCATTTCAGTCATTTCAGTCATTTCAGTCATTTCAGTCATTTCATTCGTTTCAGTCATTTCATTCGTTTCATTCGTTTCATTCGTTTCATTCGTTTCATTCGTTTCATTCGTTTCATTCGTTTCATTCGTTTCAGTCGTTTCAGTCGTTTCAGTCGTTTAAGTCGTTCGGTCGTTTCAGTCGTTTCAGTCGTTTCAGTCGTTACAGTCGTTTCAGTCGTTTCAGTCGTTTAAGTCGTTTTGGTCGTTTCAGTCGGTTTAGTCGTTTCAGTCGTTTCAGTCGTTTCAGTCGTTTCATTCGTTTCATTCGTTTCATTCGTTTCATTCGTTTCATTCGTTTCAGTCGCTTCAGGCGCTACAGTCGTTTCAGTCGTTTCAGTCGTTTCAGTCATTTCATTCGTTTCATTCGTTTCATACGTTTCAGTCGTTTCAGTCGTTTCAGTCGTTTCAGTCGTTTAAGTCGTTTCGGTCGTTTCAGTCTTTTCAGTCGTTTCTGTCGTTTAAGTCGTTTCGGTCGTTTCAGTCGTTTCAGTTGTTTCAGTCGTTTAAGTCGTTTCGGTCGTTTCAGTCGGTTTAGTCGTTTCATTCGTTTCATTCGTTTCATTCTTTTCATTTGTTTCATTCGTTTCAGTCGCTTCAGGCGCTTCAGTCGTTTCAGTCGTTTCAGTCGTTTCAGTCGTTTCAGTCGTTTCAGTCGTTTCAGTCGTTTCAGTCGTTTCATTCGTTTCATTCGTTTCAGTCGTTTCATTCATTGCAGTCATTTCATTCATTTCATTCATTTCCTTCATTACCTTCAATTCATTCATTTCATTCATTTCATTCATTTCATTCATTTCATTCATTTCGTTCATTTCGTTCATTTCGTTCATTTCGTTCATTTCATTCATTTCATTCATTTCATTCATTTCATTCATTTCATTCATTTCATTCATTTCATTCATTTCATTCATTTCATTCATTTCATTCATTTCGTTCATTTCATTCATTTAATTCATTTCCTTCATTTCATTCGTTTCATTCGTTTCATTCGTTTCATTCGTTTCATTCATTTCATTCGGTTCATTCATTTCATTAATTTCATTCATTTCATTCTTTATTGACTTTATTGACTTCAATCACTTCTTTGATTTCAATCACTTCATTGACTTCAATCACTACATTGACTTCAATCAGTTCATTGACTTCATTGACATCATTCACTTCATTGCAAATTACTGATCTAAATAAGTTGTTAAATTAATTATTATTTGTTATTTTTAATTCCGATATTATATACACCGTCATATATTCAATCTTTTATTAATATCACTCCTACTCTATATCAACACGCCAACCTAACCACACTGGTGACCCCGACGTGATAAAAATATGTACGTCAAAGTCGTAGTAGGAGCCCTCAACCTAGGACATGTTGGTACTACCGTATATATAAGGAAAAGGCGTTACACTGTACTACTCCTTGTAACTGGCAGCACGATTTATTTTTAAACATGAACAGGAGTCAGTAAAGTCGACTATCGACATACATATTCACTTACAAAATAGGACAAAAATAATTACCAGTTGCCCAATCCGAAGTTCCATTAGTGTGCACACTGCCTATCATAGGCTGTCCATCGTTGTACTCTATGCCTGCTTTTAACCAGCGTTTTTCATCCAAATAAATCGTAAGGCCTGCTTGGTCGTACAATGTAGTGAAATCTGCTTCAATACAGGCCTATAAATAACACATACAAATATTAGGTACATTTGTATCCTACACATAAAGTCGCTGTCGCTGTCTGTCCGTCTTTATGTATGCTTAAATCTTTAAAACTACGCAACGGATTTTGGAGCGGGTTTTTTTTAATAGAGTGATTCTAGAGGAAAGTTTATGTACCTATGTAATGCATGTACACCCTTGCGAAGCCGGGGCGAGTAACTAGTATTATATATATATATATGTAGCGATTCCACGTTTCCGTGCTATATACTTGTGGTTTCACACATGTTAATAATATCGGTATTAAATAAAATAATATAATTCCATTTAGTAAAGTAAAGAGACTTAGTTCCATAAAGTATAGACAGAGTTGTTCTCGGTTTCATAGTATTAATATGGCTGGATTCTTAAATTACTAGGAATAATATATTAAAACGATAATTATTTAGTAAAGACGGGGTCGCTAACTATGGGCCTCATGAACAAGAGTCAGTCAGAGTCACTCAGAGGGCAATGGAGAGTGACCGACATAGCCTGAAGAATTCCGACACTGAAGTGCCAATGGGCAGGGCGCTCATAAGACAGATGGCCGTTGGAGCAATAAAGTCCTCGAATGGCGACCACGGACCGGAAGACGCAGCGTGGGAAGGCCTCCAGCAAGGTGGTCCGACGATCTGGTCAAGATCGCTGGAAGGCATTGGATGCGAGCAGCGCAGGACCGATCGCCGTGGAGATCTTTGGGGGAGGCCTATGTCCAGCAGTGAACATCTTCCGGGCTGCGATGACGATGATATATTAAAATAATTACTCACATAATTAGTACTTACCGTAAAATTGAAGTCATCACTTATATCAACACCATATACATGCGCAGTGTTGAAATAAAAATTGTACCAGGTCCCTTGCCAAAAATCTGTCTTATTATCAGTGATTACTCTTAAACTGTGAGATTCTATTTGCCAGGTTGCCGGCTCGTTTAACCATTTAAATTCTTTATGCAAAGTTACATCATTAAACTGAGATGACTGCATTATATGAGTATATTATAAAGTAAAATGTAATAACTCTCTAATGTTAAAAATTGTATGCTGTTAACACAATACTTAGTTGGATGACGCTTATCTATAATATGTATTTATTTCCTTATGAATCATGCTATAGATATGTCTATTCGATTAAATAACTCGAGTTGTGCTAAATTCATGTTAACTCAAGTTGAATTCAACGCCAATTGATCGATTTAAACAAAAGCGTGATTAGTTCGTTATATAGAATAATTGTAATCGAAAATACATAATACAAATATAACATAAACAATAAGAAAATACTTTTAAGAATATTATATTACAAAACAATATTTTTTGTTTCTTTTACATTATAAAAAAAAACTTTTTACAATATGTTTCACTTTTTATATAATAGGTATATCTTGGTAATGAAATAAATAGAATTCTAATTCAGGTGTAGTACATATTATAATAAAAGTTGATTGAGACTTATGAGAACAATTTTTTGAGGCAACAAAAAAACAGAATATTATTATTATAAATAATTTATATAACTATAAATTATTTATAATAATAATAGGGTAAGGGGATTGTTAGTAATGTGGACTAATGATCTCGTTGCTAGCAATGTACCATGTCAGATTGACCTCCACGCGGCTCCCCCTGGAACCCATCGTCATAAATACCAGGTGAATTTGTCCCGTTGGACTAACTAATCTGACTTCATGTTCATCTTATCATCCTCCATCAGACCGTCAAACCGTAAGCGTATGCGAGGGCACCATTCTATTATCTTCTTTAAAAAAACAGAGCCAGAAAAAAATGGGTATTATAGTAGATTATTACCTATTCGATATTTAATGTAGTAGTTTCATGGTCGAAAGACTGTATATTCATATTATAAATTTAGACTGAAATTATTGTGTGAAGACTACTTTATATCTAGTTAGTTTAGTTATGAAATATGACTACTTACGATAACAAAGTTAAAACTAAATCAGTACGACTATAAAAATAATTTCTAATCTATTTCTGCCTATATACATTAAAAATTTTGTGAATATACGCAATTTTGTGGCGTAATAAAAAAAATAGGCATGACGAAACAATTCGAATTTATTTTTATCTCGATATTACCACAATATTACAATGACATACTTTATCTATTTTGTTTAAGATGTGGCAGCTTATATTATTCTCGCGGTAACTTTATGTAACTGTTGGCAACACAGTTGAGCGCACCACCAATCACAATTCATTATTTAACTTCATTTATAAAATGGCCTCATTTCCGCCGAAACCACCGCGTTGCCGTCGCTCTGCGCGGCTTATGAAGAAATTAAAATATATTTTTGTATTTAGATAGTGAATAGTGAAATTAATAATTTTACACCTTCTATTAGGTATTTTTTTGAATTATAATGGGTAAACCTGGTGAGTATTTTGTCTACTTTCATATATATTCATACACGACTTACACATTGTCACCGCGTGGTTATTAAACACAGTTTTTACTGTATTTACATTTCTGATTTACTATTAACCTTAGTTTTTATAAGTAAATAATCAAAATTAAATAATAGACGCCACCAATTTGTAAAATATCACGCACATGGTAATTTCTCTCACGTGTTATATTTTAGGTTATAATCTCCAATGTATGAGTGGTTTAAAGCTTTTAAATTATTTTAAAGGCTTAATTAATTATAAATAATTGTTTAAACTTAGGTCTTTGTAAAAGCTTAGTGAATTTCAATACTGGTAATGAGTAAATATCAGTGAAAATTTATATTGAGTCAATTGTTACTCTATTTATCATATTTGTTAATGTCGAATTTAATAATGTTATTCTTAAATTCTGTTAATAATGCATGAACGAGATGTTAAAGAGGAACAAAAATGAGTCTGCTTTTGTATATTAAAACTAATAAACAAAAGTGTTTGTTCCGCCATGTGCACGTTGAGACATTTTCTCCCTGTGAACCATAGGCCCAACAGAGATTCATGTGGGCGGTGCATTATCAAAATTAACTTTGTAAAAGGAGAGGTGCTTCGAATCTTATGTATACATACATATGCAACCATAGTTATATGTATAATCCATAATATATTTTTATATTACATTAACATACAATATATTTTTAAATGTAATTATTGCTTTTAGTAAAAGTTTCTTAGTTTTCTGTCATTGTGGCACTGTAAGTAGTTGCTTGGGTTGGCAGTCCACCATGGTTACCATTTACCATCAGGTGGACATGGATGCAAGCATGTTTCATTAAATAAAAATGGTAACCAGAAGGAACAAAGCAATATCGAGATCAAATATTTATAATATACATAGTAAAATGGCACATTTACAAAAGCATGTTTAGACAGTATAAATTGAACTGTCCACCATTTTCTGTTCGCCTATGTATCTTTAATTACAGAACAGATTTTAACCCTTTGAATTTTTTGACGCAGATCTGTGCAAAAAACTTCTTTTTAACCAATTTAGTCCTTATTTGAAACGAAATAAGATTGAAACATTTTTGAAAAATACAGCTGGTGCGCCTATACTGCCTCTTCACTTTCAATCGCTGCGATAAACAACAGACATTCGAAAGGTTAATACAGGCAAAATTTATATGTATAATACATGTGTGTTTAATACAGAACAACCTGAGATATTAAAAGATTTGTAATACATTGGTGCAACGCTGGGTCACTAGTACAATATAAAACAAAAGTAGCAACATAAATATGCTATACCTTCATGACTTAGGTTGAACCATGAATGAACCATGTGGAGCTTAACCTCATAGGGTATATGAATACTACTCCCCGTTTCTGCTCCTATATAAATATATTTTTTAAATTGAGAGATATACATTAAAGTTAGTAATTCATTTTATGGTAATGTAAGGTTTTACAACAAACTACCAAATTCTGTTTTAAATCTGCCTGAAAAAAGATTAAGATGTCGTATAATACACTTCCTTTGTAAAACAGCATATAAAATTGAAGAATTTGTTAATGACAATAATGTTTTTGTAGAAAAATTTGAAATTCATAGCTCTGACAATATTTTCTGATTTTACAATGAGTGCCTAGCGGTTTCTATGTTGATTATTGCATGCCTCTTACTTATTTAATAAAGATTATTTCTATTACATATTGATATACTAAGTGGACACTTATCACTAAAACGTTGGGCTCAAACACACCTACCAGAGCTGTAAAACATAATATATTGTCGAGCTTAGTGATAGCTGATTATAATTTAACAATAATGTACATATTATAAAATATATTTTCTATCACAAACAATTATATTTAATTCAAATTAGAAAATAATTTATTCATATGGTATAATATTTTTTTCCTACCATCAAGTTCAGTAAACAGATTCAATTGAGAAGAACTGCCAAGAAACTCAATTGAATATTTTTTTTTTAAAAGAGACTATTTACTATGTTAATTTATATATAAAATTCTCGTGCATGAACAACTATTGTAATGCACTCTCGTCATTCAAGTAACTGTTTAATGAGAAATAATAATAATAATAATAATAATAATAATAAAGACATTTATTCAGCATTACAGTATTCTTAGATGCTATCTATCTTATATACTATACAATTTAAAAGCTAAAAGCTAAAACATACTAGTAACGCTGAATGTGACTCCCACTCAGCATTTATACTGCAGTATATATATACCACAGCGCTGATTTTCAGTGGGGCCACCACACACGAGAGAGCGTAAAGATTACTAAAGAAAATAAAACGTTAAAATTAAGACCATTTTATAAATAGGTATGAAAATGTATGTAAAGATAAATGCAATTTTAATTAATGTATGTATTTAGTATTAGTAAAAATGATTTAACAGATGTTTTGAATTTATTTATATTCATACAGAAAGTATACTATGTCCTATCGTCAACTACTTTTCATATATGTATATGACGGTTATCGTTTACCATCAGCTGGCTATGTAATCAGCTATATAGTATAAGAAGCTTATTTTATAGACTGTCATCAGTTTTTTTTAAAGTGTGATTCGATCTGTGACCGGTATACGCTGTTGGGGCACCAGTGGAGTATGCCAAGATGAACATGAGGTCAAGTCAGTTAGCACATCGTGACAAATTCACCAGGAATCTGTTATAGTTTCCGGGGGAACCGTGTAGTCAACCTGATGGTACATTGCTAACAATGAGGTTATTAGTCCACATTACTAACAATTCCCTTCCCCTTGTCATCAGAGTTTAACGGTCCACGTGGAGGCGGCGGAGGTCGAGGGGGCTTCCGTGGCGGACGCGGCGGGGGTGGGGGCGGTGGCGGTCGGGGGGGAGGAGGCCGCGGGGGCTTCGGGGGCGGCCGGGGGGGAGCCGGCGGCGGGAAGTTCGAGAAGCGGGGCGGTGGCGGCGGACGAGGATTTGGAGGCCGAGGTGGAGGTGGTAAGTAATCTATACAGTATTTTAAATACGTATTATTTAAGATATTTCATATTATCTTCAGAACCTACTGGTTTATCTAATCTTAATATATAAAAAATTCATATCACCTTATCTGTCCCGGATAAAATACTAAACTATTGGACTTATTATTAACTAGCTGTGCCCGCGGTTTCACTAGCATGAAATTATAGCCTATATTATTCTGATGAATGATGAAGCTTACTATAAAGTTACATCAAATTCCGTTAAAGTTTTTGCGTGAAAGCGTAACAAACATCCATCCGTACAAACTTTCGCATTTATAATATTAATAATAAGATATATAATGTATGTAATTGTTAGGTTTAGCAATAACAATTTACACGCCCCAAAGTGGGGCAATTTGATTGTTGAGGAGGGCAATTCGTAAATGGACTCTATTAAAATTGTATGGAATGTGAGTTATAATTATTCATGTTTTGAATATTGACTTATTGTTTCATTAACAATTTCCTAATGATTTCTTCGTAAAACCAATTTTATAACTTCTTTGAACAATTCAATTTTTTAATGTTATATGTTACATTGGGGGGTATGAGAAGTTTGGAAATGCTAAGTCTGACCTGGTGCTAAAAACGTTGGGAAACAATCTGGTTAAACACATTTCTATTGTGTGTGGAGATTTCTTAATACAATTTTTTAACATCTTTGTATTATTTTTATAATATTGTCTTTCACACAACCCTTTTCAAATCCAAATCGGTTAAACTTTTTGTTTTGGAAAATTGTTACTATTTAAAATAGTTAAAATGTAAGTAATTTATTTCACCCTGTGCAAACTAGATGGCGCTATTAAGATGTTTTGGTTTTAATGACCTCCCTGTTAGTATTTTTTAATAAAAAAACTCCCTATCATCCCTATTGAATGATAGTTTCAATTGGAACCCTCAATAGCATCATTTTGACCTCGCTGTACCTAGTTGTTCAGTGACAACAAAAATTTTGGAGAACTATGGCAAGTAACACTGTGATACGAGAATTTTGTATATTAGATCATATATGATGACAACATGGTCCCTCTAATCTAGACCTATTCGTGAAGACTATGATACCACATACCCACTACTGATTACAAACAGACAGACAGATCACTGAGCTGTTTTGAAACTGTTATTATAGTGCTTGTAATTGCTCAGGTCGGGGCCGTGGAGGACCACCAAAGAGAGGAGGCTTCAAGGGCGGGAAGCAGGTCATCATTGAACCACACAGGTTTGTACTTCTTTCTATGTAATTTGAATGGCAAACAAGCGGCTCGCCTGATGGTAAGTGGTAATCACCTATGTACATGAAGCGTGTTACACAGGCGATACAATGTGTTGCCATTCGAGAGGACTAAGATGTGACCTTTTATTTGATTGTTTGTAACGGTCTGGGTGTTTTCTATGTATATTATGTATGTATTTACAAAAAAATATCTGAGTAGTATATAAGTTGTCTAATACTCATAACATAATAAGCTTTGCTTACCATGGAACTAGATGGCGCTGTGTTAATTGTCTAGGTTTAAAAAAAAAAAAATGCCAACAATAGCATTTTAGAACGAAAAACACTATGGTTTCATGATAATTCGTCTCTTCCTCGTGGTCTGCCCTGAAAACCATTTGTGATAAATTCTTGGTGAATTAGCGAAGATGTAATTATGACTTGACGGTATCCTTATGCTATCATTCTCCAAAGATGTCCCATTAGCGCAGGCGTATTCATCGGCTCATATTCGTCTATAATAAAATAAACGAAATTAAGTATATACTCATGCGAAGTCGGGTGATTAATAACAGGATAAAGATTGTATTATTATCAGCCGTATCACAAGATAAGCAATTGTGGTGAGATATAGAGCGAGCGCTGTATCATACATATATATAGATATATATCACAAACATACATAGACGACAGGTTGTGTTATCAATTAGAACAAAAGAAATCAATAGTTTTAATAGAATTACTTGTTTCCCAAATAGAATTGTGCAGTGATTGTAACAACGATGCCTTTGGGTGATATAGAACCCTACAATTTGGAATCGAAGCAATGGAATTCGTATGTGAGACGTGTCAAAAACTTTTTGCTGTGTAACGAAATAAAAGAAAATCTAAAAGTACCGACCTTAATAACGTTAGTTGGCGCGCCCACCTACAATCTTATGTGCGAACTGTGCTCACCAGGGAACCCCGAAGACAAAACGTTCAACGAGCTAATAAAAATAGTTGGAGACTATCTCGAACCCGAACGATCCGTGCTAACAGAGAGACACGCCTTCAGATCGAGACGACAATTGGCAGGCGAGCCGTTGTCTGAATATTTGCATAACTTGAAACGTCTCGCTGCAACCTGTAACTTTGAGTCGACGCTCGAGGAAAATCTTCGAGATCAGTTCGTTTCGGGTCTTTGCAGCGACGGTATACGGTCGCGATTACTTTCCGAAAAGAACATAACATATAAGAGAGCGGTGCAGTTAGCTCTGTCTTTGGAGGCTGTTGAAAAATATGCAGAGACTGGCCAGCGAACGGACGACCAGGATAGCGGAACCAACAATAACGTAGGGTCGACTAGCTTGTGGGGAGTACTGTACGGAGGCGGCGCCGTTGCCGATAGCAGTAACAATAATGAATACGGCGATGAAAAAACCGCTACAAAAAGCCACAATAGTGCCAGCATAAATACAAGAGGAGGGAGATCCAAACCTGGCAAGGTACAGGGCGGAGAGGACGTATCTGACAGTGGTCACCTCAAAGGCGATATTGGAATTGGCCCCGGTAACACTCAAGGCGGCAGTGTTAGAGTAATTACTAGCAGTAACGTCAAAGGTGCCGGTGCAAAAGGAAATGACAGCGGTGACGTCAAACGTGGCGTTGCAAAAGGAAACTATGGCGGTAACGTCAAAAGCAGTGGTGACGTCAAAGATGGCGGCGGAAATGACTTCGAAGACGTAGATGCCAATCCCATTGCGCTGCCGCCCGATGATCGACGCCGCCAGAAGTCAGGCGTCATTTGTTGGCGATGCGGTGGACGGCACCCAGCATTCAAATGCTACTATAAAAATTATGCCTGTGAAAATTGTAACCATATAGGTCATGTAACAGAGATGTGTAAAACGAGACTCGAGAAACACAATGTTAATAACCAATCTACTGTTGATTCTCGCAGCCTACAAGTTACAGGTAATGTAACAGAGGTGTGTAAAACGAAAATCGAGAAACACAACGTTAATAACCAATCTAGTGTTGATTCTCGCAGCCTACAAGTTACAGATAATGTAACAGAGGTGTGTAAAACGAAACTCGAGAAACACAATATTAATAACCAATCTAGTGTTGATTCTCGCAGCCTACACGTCATGTCTGTCGAAAACGATCCTTACTTTGTTACCGTTGAAATAGAAAAGAAAAACCTTACATTTTATGTCGACACTGGTAGCAAGGTATCCCTAATTAATATGGATTACTATGAAAACTTTTTTTCTCATAATCCTGTGTCCAAAGACAATCTTCAATTAACGTGTCCATACAGTAGTTTGGCAATACAACCGGAAGGTTATATATTAGTAAACGCAAAAATCAACGACATCACACGATATAAATTAAAATTATATTTAATTAAATGTTGTATTCGTCCACTGTTGGGCAGGAGTTGGATTCATGAATTCAGTATTAACCGGCTGAATATTGTTAACAGTACTGCTACAGTTAACGTAAACGACGTACGTAAAAATATTGCAAATATTTTAAAAAACAAGTTTCCCAATGTGTTTACCGATGCGTTAAGGACATGTAAAATAAAAATTCGATTGGAGTTGAAAGATAAGGAACCTATATACGTGCCTGCGCGCTCGGTTTCGTCCACATTACTCCCATCCGTTGAACGCGAATTGAAACGTTTACAACGAGAGGGCTACATATATCCCTCAAGAAAGTACGAGTATGGAACGCCGATAACAGTTATAGACCAGTCGGATTCAATCAGTATCTGTGGAGATTACAAAATAACTATAAATCCTAAACTTAAACGAACTTTCTATCCGTCACTTACTTCGCAGTCCATAATTTCGGCATTAAAGGGCGGACAAAATTTTACCAAAATAGATATGTCTACGGCGTATACGCAGATATTGCTTGAGGAGGAATCCCAGGATATTACAGCCATATCCACTCATATGGGCATGTTTGCGTTCCGACGTACACCCCCAGGATTAGCATGTATACCTGAAAAATTGCACGAAATCTTACAAAATATTCTGCACGGTATCCCTATGAAGCTGGTTCATTCGAGTACCATAGTAGTCACAGGTCCGGACCAAGAAACTCACATGATAAACCTGCAACTAGTTCTAGACCGGCTCTCCGATGCGGGCCTAACAGTTGACATTAAGAATTGCTTATTTTTACAAACCAGTGTCACATTATTCGGTTTTATTATTGATAAAAATGGGGCACACGCTATATCGAAATAAATACACGAGGCTGCAACTTTAGAACACTCTATACCACTGTTAATTGGTCGCATGACTCCGCATTTTGACTTTTATTTTCAAAATCATCATAGAAACGATGATTTTGAAAATAATTTCAATTCATTTCGTTTCATTGGGAAACTTGTTCAGTTGTCAATCAAATCAAAATATCTTTTTTGATGAAGGTCTATTACATATGTGATAAGTAATATTTATCAGTAATTTTAGTTTGAGTCGATAAGAACTGAAATGAAATTCTGCCCTTTTTTAATTATTATTGTAATATGTATATATAATAATAATACATTATTCTGTAATCAAAAACTGTATTCAAATTCAAAATATCTTTATTCAGGTCTATTACAGACTCTTATGATATGTCAAATGTACCGTCAGTTCGGAATGATTTCGAGCTAAGAACTGAAAAGAAACTCAGCTCGTATTCTTTTAAAAAAAAGTGTTGTACATGTTTACAATAATACAGAGTCATTTAAATTCAGATTTGTGAGATATTCATATTAAAACTACGATGTGATGAAGTCTTTAATTAGCTAATTAATATAAGTAAATAATGTGTTATTTAGATTAAGTTTGAAAAAAATATATTTTTAAGACAATTCTGTAAAGTAATGTGAAATGAAACAGTTAGCCTAGGCCGCTTTGTTTCACTGTTCCGTCGTGATAACCATATGTATTAATTTTCATATATTGTTATTGGGAAACTGCGTTTACCCCATTGACGAATTTGCAGACGTTGAATGTTATTTTATGTAATCATTACATGGTATAAAACAAAGTCGCTGTCGCTGTCTGTACCTAAAGATACCCAACGGATTTTGAAGCGGTTTTTTTAATAGATAGTGATTCAAAGGCGAAGGTTTATATGTATAATACATGTACACCCGTGCGAAGCCGGGGTGGGTAGCTAGTACATAAATAAACATGACATGTAAAACGACCTCGTTGGTTTAGCGGTGTAGCACACCGTTCTACTTCCGATGGTCGCGGGTTCTTAGCTTTTCTAAAATTCTAACGCAGCACACGGAGCGGAATCAATCGTACTAGTTTTTTTTGCCCCATTGTTCATTGCTGGTCCTCTCCTATTGGTTGTAGCGTGATGTTGTATACCCTATAGCAGTCGAGAATAATATACCTTTGTAATAGTGAAAGTATATTTAAAATCGGATCATCAGAACCGGAGATTAGCCCGAACAAACAAACATACAAACATTGCCTCTTTATAATATTAGTATAGATTTATGTTTTTACTATCTACTAGCTACTCGCCCCGGCTACGCCCGAGTGTACATGTATTATACATATATATAAAACTTCCTCTAGAATCATGTATTAAAATAAAAACCGCTTCAAAAATCCGTCGCGTAGTTTTAAAGATTTAAGCATACATAGGGGCAGACAGCGACAACGACTTTATTTTATACTATGTAATTATTATTTTATACAGAAAAATATAATGTTGTTCTTATTCATCTTTTATCTGTTTTATTTGTTATTTGTTATATAATATATAATTAAACTATTTCTACCCAACAACCGTCTTTTTTCTTCTTGATTGAAGACTTGAAGATTGTTCGTCAATATCTTATCTTAATCTTAATATAATATTATAAACGCGAAAGTATGTAAGTATGGATGTTTGTTCCTCTTTTACGTAAAAACTACTGAACGGATTTTGATGACACTTTTGCATATTTCTTGCTCTTTCTTCTTGTGATGAGACAGCTTTCCGAATGAGCGGTAGATGAAAAGAAGTATTACTATGACTATTAAAAAAACCCTGAAATTAGGTTTATTTGAATAAAAGATTTCTAGTCTATAAATATTTACCAGCGTAATATAAATAACCCAAGACAATTAACAAAGCGCCATCTAGTCCCACAGTAAGGAGAGATTGTGTAATGGATACTAGATAACTGATATAAATACTTAGATTTTTTTAAATAATATATATAGAAATACACTAATATAATATACCTAATATATATATAAAACACCCAGACCGATACAAATAATCATGCTCATGAATATAAATGTTTGCACCGTGCGAGCAATCGAACCCGCGACCATCGGAAGTACAGCGGTGTGCTAGACTACCAAGGCCGTCAACTACACTGCTCTATACTGTTATAGATTCAAATGAATTTTACATGATGTAATTATAAATAACTTTCGTTCTTCTGAAAGCGAACAGCTTGAAGACAACATATTTCGCTGATCAAACACATTACACCACTTTACCAACGTCATCTGTACCCATGTAACGGAAGAATCTGTTCACCAGGCATGCCGGAGTGTTCATCGCAAGAGGGAAAGAGGACGCGTTGGTTACAAAGAACCTGGTACCAGGATCAGAGGTGTACGGAGAGAAACGGATATCAGTTGAGGTCTGTAGTCCATTATAGTTTTATGTATCCGGCTGACCTTATGGCAAATGTTATAGTTGTCTATATACATAAACTTGACGTCATCATGCGACAATAGTGGTAACCCTCATGCTTGTTAGTAATGAGGAATAAAGAAATGAGGCCATTTTTTTATGTATTATAATGGAATGGTGCACCCGTCTGCGCTAACGGTTGACGCTGGCGGGGCACCAGTGAAGGATGATAAGATGAACATGAAGTCAGGTCAGTTAGCACATCATGGCAAATTCACCAGGAAATTATCATGATGGTTTCCAGGGGAACCGGGTCGAGGTCATCCTAATATGGTAGATTGCTAGCAATGGGCTTGCGCTGTCCCCTAACTGGTGATTTTGTCACTATAGGCTAACAGACCTTACCTTATGCTCATCTTTCCTCCACTGGTGCTCCATTGCATTACATAAAAAACCGATCAAGATATCATGCTTCCCTGTAAATTTACTGTCATGTCACATCAATCCAAAGCAAGAAATAAGTGAATCTGCATTTCTTAAAAGTAATCACTAAACTGTCAGTAGAAGCATCGAGAACAAACTAGAAGCATCCAGTACAAAGTCATTTGTGTAGGAATGGATAACCAAGCGGCTGGTTGTGTATTTATTATTTTGATTCTAATGAATTTATGCTAATTGATAGTTTTTAAACATTTCAGCTTACAAATGTAAAGTTACAACAATTATTTAAAAGAGCAACACGCAAGTTTCTTTCTAGTTCTTGTGATCGAGCTTTCCGAATGAGTGGTAGATAAAAAATAATAATGACTACTCGAAAGTGCTTGAATGTTTATTTGAATAATTTTCTATTCTATTCTATTCTTGCTTTGTAAGGCTATGTGTCTAGGTTTTGGAGACATGACCCTTTTGTGCTACGTAATGGTAACGCATGAGTGATATCACGAGCGTCGCATAATAACGTTTTGTCCATTTATGTATATGAACAGCTTGTTTGTCATTACTTAACACGTTGAAGACCGCATTGAAAAATCTTATTTCTCACATAGGGACTGGTATTGTTTTTATTGTTAACTAGCTGTACACATAACTTCGCGTGGAATTTAAGTTCATTTTTCTAAAATAAAAGTAGCCTAAGTTACACCTTATTACATCAGCTACCTGCCAAAAAAAGTCCCGTCAAAATCAGTCTAGACATTTCAGAGATTAGCTGGAACAAACAGACAGACAGACAAAAATGGTATTTTGGTGTCTGTACCGTATTTATATTGATATGCATGTAAGTTTACTACATGCATATGAATAACAACGGGTATTTCAATATTACAAACAGATTCCAATTTTATTTATATGTATTATGTATAGATAATGTATATTATTTTTCAAATATGTTTTTAGTGTACAATAATTTGAGGTAGACATTATTTAACCCCTAGATTTATTTCAATTAAAGTGCCCACGGGTGATCACCCGGTCCCAACGTGTAAAACTTTCGTTGCGGAGTGACCCACCGGTGGGTATGCGGTCTTGAACTTGTTAAAAGAAATGATAGGATTTCTCTTTATAACATTCTTCATATGATGATTGTGGTCCCTCTAATCTAGACCTATTCGTGAAGACTATATCCACATACCCACTTCTGATGTTCCTCTTAAAACACCCCCCTCATCCCCTAATCTTTTACTCTTATTTAATCAGCCTCCATTTTGCAGAATGAAGGCGAGAAGATTGAATACAGAGTGTGGAATCCGTTCAGATCAAAGTTGGCTGCAGCTATTATGGGCGGCGTGGATGCTATTCACATGCCGCCAGGGTCGAGGGTTCTGTACCTCGGAGCTGCTAGTGGTACAACCGTAAGCCACGTGTCAGATATCGTTGGACCTGTAAGTGATCTTACTGTTTACATTAATATTATTTCATTATTACATAGTGACGACCTCGGTGGTCTAGCGGTCTAGCATACCGCTTTACGACCGATGGTCGCGGGTTCGATTCCTCGCACGGCACAAACATTTGTATTCATGAGTATGATTGTTTGTATCGGTCTGGGTATTTTCTATGTATAATATGTATTTACGAAAAAAAAATATTATCTATATATTTGTATCAGTTGTCTAGGACCCATAACACAAGCTTTGACTAGCTTAACTTGGGTCTAGATGACGCGGTGTGAATTGTCAAATAAAAAAAAAATTAAGTCGCTGTCGCTCTGTCCCTAAGTATGCTTAAATCTTTAAAACTACGCAACGGATTTTGAAGCGGTTTTTTTAATAGATAGAACACCCGTGCGAAGCCTGGTTGGGTAGTTAGTACATAAATGAACATGACATATAAAATAGCCTCGGTGGTCTAGCGGTTTACGCCGCTTTACTTCCTATGGTCGCGTGTTCAATTCCTCACACGGTGCAAACATTTGTATTCATGAGTTTGATTGTTTGTATCGGTAAGGGTGTTTTCTACGTATATTATGTATGTATTTACAAAAAAATTCAAGTATTTATATCAGTTGTTTAGTGCTCATAACACGAGCTTTGCTTACCGTGGAACTAGGTGGCGCAGTGTTAATTGTCCAGGGTTATTTATTTATATTTTTTTTTTAACTATTGCCATAACAGGAATACGAAATATAAAACAAGAATGTACAGTAAAATAACTATAAATTTAGAATAAAAAATACATTTCAGATTAGCCAGTTACAACACATCTGCGTTATATTTTCACCATTTTTGCAATATTTTTCATTGCTGCTCCGCTCCTATTATTCGTAGCGTGATGTTATATAGCTTTCTTAATAAATGGGCTATCCAACAACAAAATGATGTTGCAATATCAGCTCAGAGTAGTACCGGAGATTACCCCAGATTCAAACTTACAAATAATCTTTATAATATTAGTATATATGTTAATGTTTATTTGCAGGAGGGTCTAGTATATGCTGTAGAATTCTCACACAGATCTGGAAGAGATCTTCTTAATGTAGCAAAGAAGAGAACGAATATCATACCCATAATAGAAGATGCTAGACATCCACTGAAATACAGGTATTTATATCAACTGATTTATTTCTCCTAATGCTGTTTTAACATACATATTCTTTTAATGTATGATAATGGAATGGTGCAACCGCCTGCGCTAAAGGTTTACGCTGCCGGGGCACCAGTGGAGGACGATAAGATGAGTATGAGGGCAGGTCACAAAAAACATACAATTACAGGGTGATATAGGGTGTGATCGTTTTGTATAAAAAAAAATCTATATAATTTGTTATTATAATCGGCGGGTATAGTTTGCTAGTTACATAATATTTTAGACTGCCACCCCATCCTGAGTCCATGGCTGGCTACGTTCATGCGTGCAATCTATGAACTTGAAGCTGATGAAATTTCGGGTTTTTTTTGTGGATGATTATGGAATGATACACCCGCCTGCGCTAACGGCTTATGCTGTCGGGCACCAGTGGAGGATGATAAGATTACCACGAAGTTAGGTTAGTTAGCTTCTTGTAAATTCACAGGGAATTTATCACGATGGTTTCCAGGGCCAACTACGTTGAGGTCAACCTGACATGGTATATTGCTAGCAATGGGGTCATCAGTCCACAAATTCAATATATCTTTATTCATGTATGTCTATTACAGACTCTTTATGATCTGTCAAATATACCATCAGTTCAGAATGATTTCAATCGATGAAAAGCAGTGGCTATTAAAACAGAGTTGGCTATGAAAACTAAACTGCACTAAAATAAGTGAAGTCATATTGAACAAATTTCAAATTATCTGTTATGGAACCTTTGCGTCATAGATTTTGTTAAGTCATGTTATCATTATAGACTTTGTTAAAAGTCATCTTACTATCAAGTGAGCTGTCAACTCATCATAAAGTTACATAAGCCAAAAAACTAAGTGATGAAAAACATTAACTAAATATTTCATGTTGATAACTTTGAACTCTCTCTCTGATGCCGATTACTAATTTGCAACTATCTCCGTTTAACTGCCAGCTTGCTAATAAGCCTGTCTCTGTCCAGAATGCTGGTTGGTATGGTGGACACAATATTTGCGGATGTGGCCCAACCTGATCAAGCCAGGATTGTGAGCCTGAACGCGCAGCACTTCCTCAAAAATGGCGGACACTTCGTTATCTCAATTAAGGTGAGGCCAAGTTCTTTCTTATAATCCATGTTATTTCTTTGACGGTCTCGCAGACTGCTAGACCATAGCAGATTAGCACACTGCTTTACTTCTGTTTCCTCATACGGTACAAACATTTTTGTTCATGAGTATGATTGTTTGTATCGGTCTGGGTGTTTTCTATATATATCATGTATGTATTTACAAAAAAATCTTAAGTATTCATATCAGTTATCTAGTACATCATAACACAAACCCTGCTTACCTTAGGACTAGTTGGCACTGTGTGAACTGTTGAGGGATATTATTTTTATTATATTACTAGGAGTCGTTTGCCATTCGTGGCATTAAAAAACCACTACAGTTGAATACATTAAAATCCTCCATAAAACAAAACGAAATTTTATTACTTTCTTATGATGAAAAAAAAAATGCTAAATATTTCATGTTGAAATTTGAACTCTCTCACTGAAGTTATAATATTCACTATATTGATTTTTTTTCTATTATGCAACTTCTGACCATAAATATTTGTTCTAGGCATCGTGTATAGACTCGACGGCGCAACCGGAAGCGGTGTTCGCGTCGGAAGTAAAGAAACTACAAGCGGACAAGTTAAAACCACAAGAACAGTTAACGTTAGAACCTTACGAGCGAGATCACGCAGTAGTCGTCGGAGTGTTCAGACCACCGGCCAAGAAAGCATAGACTTAATTATAGATTAGTTATTTTTTTTAATTACAACTGACAGTTCTAATAGCAGTATAATTATTGCACCTTCGCTCAAATAGTGTCAGAGAGACAGAGAGAGAGGATTCATCGAGAGAGAGAGAGAGAGGATTTGGATTCATCGTGCAAAGATTAGGATTCTCCCTGCAAATTGGGGAAATCAAATCAAAAATCATATGAACGTAAAAATTTTTGTCTTAATAATTTTTCCTTACCATCCAGTTGAGAATACGAATTCAATTGAGAACTGACAAGACACTCAATTAAATTTATTTTTTCTTTAAAAGCCAGTTTATTTACACTGTACTTGTGGTAGGTGTCTATGTATAGCATTAAATGATAATCCCGTGTTTGAGCAACTATTGCCATGAACGTTTGTAATGTAGTGATGACAGTAAATTTGGGATAAATAATTGAAGTTAGGGGGTGGGTGGGAGTTTTGTGAAGCTAAAAGTATTATTAATAATATATAATAATGTTTATCCTGATTTTTCTGTATTATGTATATTATTACTTCTTTGCACTCCAGTATAGTAACTCATAGAGGATACCAATAACTCCTGAACTATATTAGGTACAAGTACATACCTGTGGTGTAAAGGAAGAATGGAGTCGTTGCAATAAAACAAAACATTTCTTAGCTTAATATATAAAGAAACATTCTAACTAATAATATTAAAAAAAAAACATAAATTTTTAATCGCGACAGTGGATTTAAAATTAGTATTTTAATGTCGCAAATACAACGACAACGGAGTGCAAAGGATTGTTATAGTAAAACGGGTTTTAATACAAATAATTTTATGGTAAATAAAGGTATTTACCTCTCGACGATTCGACTAGGTTGCACTAGACGTGGTCACCCCAGACTTGTATATCATTAGATACACATATTTGATTTATTCTTAGTGGAAACATGCCTTTTCTGAAACTGATATAACTTTGACGCTATTTGAGTGGAGTTGTGTTATGTAATTGCGTTGCTAATCTTCCCATTTGGCGATTATATAGGTTTGCAATTATGTATAGATAATTTGCGAGTTGCAGTTACATATTAAGTCATATGTTTCGCAACTGAAACGGTTCATACATAATAGTTGTAGATTGAAATCTGTTGCAAATGAGAATAGTTAGCAACCGCTTTACATAATGCGGCACTTGTGATGTATTTGTAACAAAATTGTTTACAATACATTGTACAAAACAGGTTATTGTAACATTGTTATTAAATGTTGCCATGCTGACGTGTTGAATCAATCACAATTTGAAAATTGTGTATTTTTTATTGTCATGTTGACAATCTCGATTATCTGTAAGCCTGTTTCACACTGAAAGATTCCATTTGTACAAGCGTATAGTGTGGAACGAGCCTTAATTATAAGTAGCACATATGAGATGAATGTATGATAAATATGTGATAAGAGAAATATAAAATGGTGCGAATGATATTTAGTTGTTTTTATTGTATTTTTAACTAGCTACTCGCCCGGGTGTGCATGTGTTATACATATAAACGTTCCTCTGGAATCACTATTCGCTTCAAAATCCGTTGCGTAGATTTAAAGATTCAAGCATACGGACAGTCAGCGACAGCGACTTTGTTTTATACTATGTAGTGATGTAAAAAAGTAATTTTTACGAACAATATAACCTGAATAATAGTTTGCTCAATGCTTTAACTACCACTGATTCCTGATTCCGGGTTCGAAACCCGCACAATACAATCATTTGTATTCATATTCCGGTCTCGCCTATTTAAGTTGTTAAGCAGCCTCTGGTGTAAATTGTTTCTGTTGTATGGAGAGGATTCGGCAGTCCAATTACAGAATAAGAAGCGTAGATTAGTCCTCCATGACAACGGGTGAGTGATTAAGTCTTATGATGTAATAAGACTACCTGCCAAAAGGTACCGTAAAAAATCAAATAAAAGTACCGTCAAAATCGGTCCAGCTATTTCAGAGATTAGCCGGAACAAACAGACGGACAAATATAGTAAAGAATGTTTAAAGCACTAGATTTTCTATAGAAACTCGTGAAGTATAAAACACAATTATTGAGAGTTTAAGATATGAAATATTATTTTCATCGTTTGTTCATTCATACTTGAGAACCTCTGTGGTCTAGCGTTTGAACACGCCGCTTTACTTCCAATGATCGCAGGTTCGATTCCTCATCCGGAATATGTCTGATACATATTGTTCTGGGTGTTTTCACATTATGTATATACATATATTAAAAAAAAATCTAAGTACTTACATCAGTTGTCCAGCACCCATAAACAGCTCTGCCTGCTTTGGACTAGATGGCGCTGTGTGATTATCATTATTATTTAACTATTCAAAAAAGATATATACTAGAATTTTTAGAAGTTTAAAACAGAATTATTGTTCAGAGAGTCGATTCATATTATCATTGTATCATCATCATCTACTTCTTCCTTATCCCATTCATTTGTGGTCGGCGTAATATGTTTTTCTCTTCTATTCTGTGAACTGACTGCGAACAGATGTTCGCAGTCATCTCGTTATTTACTTCCTTTCTTACCATATTATCTTTCTCTCTTTCCTTTCTCTGCCCTTATAACCATCCACATTCATACATAACACCATTTCATATTATAAAGAAAACACCAAGTTAAAATTAACATTTATATATTTTATCAATCGTCGTCTGACTGCCCCGAGTCTGTATCCATGTCGTTATCAGATGCCTCCGACTGCTCGCCGGCCGATATTTTCCCTGCTGACTTCTCTTCATCTGATTCCCCGGGCAACTTGTCCTCGTCCCACACGTTATCACTGTCCGAATGGTACTTCTCCACTTCCATCTCCTCGTCTGATGATGTGTCTGTAATAACAATATACCTGTTGATCGCACTGAGGGATGACACTAATAAAACTAGGAGTCGTGACTCATTAAGAGAGAAATTCAAAGAGGAAAATACTCTCAATTGTTTCTCAACTCATATACATGTGAAAATAATGATTTTTTATTTTGAGGTGAAGACATTCTAATAAAAGCTATGCTTCAGGCGTTAGTGCATCGATGAAAGTGGCCAGTCTATCGTTTTTTTTGGATACACTTTGGTCATAGTACCTGCATAATTTTCATGCCTTCTCTTTTTTATCACCAAACTCCACGAAGAACACATCAGATGTATAGTGGCATTCAATCGAGTACTGGGATATATCAGCATTTTTGTTAAGCACAGTGCATTGGAAGTAAGATGATCTAACCGCCGACAACCGATGCCGTATCAATTGTAAACTTACCATTGTAGTCAAGTATAGCTTCTTGGTCTTCAGTCTGGTTGGTTCTTGCTGACCGTTGCGCCATCGTTAACTCCAGCCGACCCTTCAAATTCAGCAATTGGCAGAGATGTGATCGTCTACAAACAATTGATAATAATAATAATATCTCAGAACAATTCACACAGCGTCTTTTAGTCCCAAGCTACGACAATTTGAGATATACTTAGACATATATTTTTGTATGTATATATATAATATGCATAGAAAACATCCAGACAACTATAAACGGAACTACTCGGATACTCATGAATACAAATGTTAGCATCGTGCGAGGAATCGAACCCGCCACCATCAGAGGTAAGTCGATGTTCCAAACCTCTAGTCCACCGAGGATTTTACAGGCAACCTGGAATTATGACTTTAGTCGTTCTTGCGTGTAATATTCGCCTGTACAATATCTCCTGCGGATATTAGTAACTTCTTTTGCTAGGAATGTACCATGATTGACCTCAACACGGTTCTTGGACGATCACGAACCATTACGTCAAATACCTGGTGAATTTACCACAATGTGCTAACGGACCTGGCCTCATGCTCATCTTGTCATCTTTCACTGGTGCCCCGCCAGCGCATACCGATAGCGCAGGCGGGTGCCCCGTACTATCATAATCAATTAAGATTAGGTACTGGTGCGTGATTAATAGGTACCTGTGCGTGAAGTGTGCGAGGAGATGCGCAAGATGTGTGTTGGCGGGAGAATTCGCGTGTGCGGCAACAACCAATGCGGCGTGTGCCCGCAGCGTGGCCGCCGCCCACGTACACGCAGTCGCACATCTGAAGATCAAAACATAGTTATTTATAAGCTGTTACTCCAGTCAGCTCGTAACCACGGCTAGTGCAACCTAGTCGAAACGTCGAGAGAGGTAAATACCTTTTTTTGCTATAAATTTATTCGTGTTAAGACCCGGTTAATAATTTAAATAACATTCAAAACATTAGCTCAAATTGAGGTTTCATGGAGGAAAGGGATGATTAGTCTTTCTTCTCTCTTTCAACATAAAGTATGCCACCGTTAGACGTTTGCCTATTGCATAATATTCCACTTTGGATGTGGACTAATGTTAGTGTACATTGCTAGGAATGGGATATTCCTAGCAATGTACCGTTATTACCCAGAATTTATCGGTAGCTGACCGTAAATTTGGTAGGTAGCCGTACTAGTACTGCCGTAGGTAGTACTGATAAAATCTGGGTAATAGTAGTTCTAACTACTCGTGTCGGTTAACGGTAGTTAACCGGTTAACTACCGTTATCCGGTTTTTTACAAGTAGACACGAGTTAAAACAATACTCACTGTGTGGTCTTCTTGCTGGCCATTTGTGCGAGTTCTTCCAGCAACAGGTGTACGTATTCTACAGGCAGGTGGGCCACTGTCTGCGACGCCACCGCCGGGTCGTCTTGTAGCAGCACCGTGAATATTAAACTGTCAAAATATAATTTATTATAGCTTAAAATACAAGGCTCGGCTGGGTGTCCATCCTAATGAGCCCAGAGGTTACTCATTAACAACCCTCCAAAACGCCTGAAAGGAAACATATTCTGGTGTTGGATAAAGTGTACTCCGGGTCTTCAAACCTAATCAAAGCGATGGAGGCATCTTTTAAATAAAAAGTCGTGCACTCACTGGTCTGTAGACTTGCTTAGTAATTTACCAACCAATCCGATTATAGTACAATTACTGATTGCGGATATACAAGAAACAGAAAAAAAAAAGAAAAAAAAGTTGAGTCTGTTCTTGAGTTTCTCAATTGAATCTGTATACTGAACTGGATGGTATGGAAAATATGTTAAAACTTAATATTGACGATCATACGCAGCTAAAATCACCAATAGAGAACATCATACTCATATAGTAGTAAATATTTGTGGTGAAACTGTGGCAATATGCGACAGACAGCGAACAGCGACTTTGTTTTATACTATGTAGTGATGATATTCTGAACACTTACTTTTTATCTTTAGAGTGGAGACCTTGCATTAATAGTTTTGTTAGATTCTGGCTGACGGCTGACTTGCTCCGACTCTTGGGGTCTAATGCCAGGTTTTCGAGTCTCGCCTCCATTGGTATCTCGATCTGCCAACAATAAAACAGCATTTATTGACTTATACATAACATTATTACCAAAAAAAAGCAAAGAAATAACACATTAGAACACTAAAACAAAAAAAAGGAAAATTGTCCCCAAGTTTAGCACTACGTTTAGCAAGTTAGATATAATATATAAGAGAAAAATATTTATTAAAATAGGCCTTTTTTTATCCGACCATTCCCATGTAATCCCTTAAGCAGTTTATAATGTATACTCCCTGTTGGCGACCGACCGACCGCTGAACTCCTTTGATATAATAATTATTTTAAAATTTATATACTTTTAGAACAGTTCTTTTTTATATGTCATGTTATTTGATATACTTCACTTTATTATTCACTCATTGTCTTTTAGATAGTTCGCAATTGTATTTCAATATGTTATTATAAACTACGTCTTTTCATCATTTAGACCACTCACACAGTCCACCGATCTATACACTCGCCCTAGAGGCTTTAACCCAATCACCCAGAGGTTGTTGTCCCCCAGTTAATGCTGGGGCAAAGATTCGCTCCCCGAGCCCCAACCTTTACCTCCCTAGTTTATATGTTTCCATTTTTAAGGAGATAACAGATTGACAATAATCAGTTGCGTGCGCAGCGTCGCAAGCGCGTTGTCTATACAAACACATACTTCCATAAAAGCTTGCATCTCCCCTTTCAACCCCTTACAACCCTTTTTTCGTATTAAATAGTTGCCTATGTCCTTTTTCGGGGTCTAGACTATCTGTGTACCAATATTGTAAATTTAAATTAGTTCAGTAGTTTTGGCGTGAAACCGAGACACTTACTTTCTTATTTTTAATATTACTAGATGTGCCCGCGACTTCGTCCGCGTAAAATGACGATAATTCTCTATCCCATAACTTTTCATCCCCCCCCTTTCAACACCTTACAACCCTTTTTTGCATTAAAAAGTAGACAATTTCCTTTCTCAGGGTCTAGACTAAATTTCAATTAAATTACTTCAGTAGTTTTGGCGTGAAAGCGAGACACACAGACAGTTAATTTCGCATTTATAATATTATTAAGGACTATCTGTGCCCCGCGGTTTCGCCCGCGTTAAATATCAATATTAAATATAGGCTATGTGTTATTCTGGTGCATAAGCTATACTACTGTAATGTTTCATCAAAATCCGTTCAGTTGTGTTTGCGTGAAAGAGTAACAAACATCCATACTTATAAACTTTCGCATTTATAATATTAATACGATTAAGGATTAAGGATATACTAACCTTGGCACCGGGCGCGGGCCGCTTCCTGCTGGCGCCAACCATTGTATCCACGAATGTAACATCCTTTGTATCTCCACTTCTCACTTTATTAATTTCATTAGTTTCATTTTTTTTCTTCTGTGATTTACTAGCTTTGACATCTTTTTCGCCACGTATAAGAATTTGCGTCTTGGATTTTAAGTCTGGTATCTAGAATAGAATAGAAATAATCTTTATTCAAATTAACTCAATATAAGCACAAAATACAAATGTTTACAGTGCGATGCGAATCGAACCTGCGACTCGGAAGCAAAGCGGTGTGCTACACCGCTAGATCACTGAGGCCGTATATATTAAGATACTACTTGTTCCCCGCGACTTCGTCCGCGTGGAATTTAACTTTATTATTCTACAATAAAAGTAGCCTAAGTTACTCCTTATTACATCAGCTACCTGCCAATAAAAGTCCCGTCAAAATCGCTCCAGCCATTTAAGATATTAGCCGGAACAAACAAACAGACAGACAGACAAAAATTGTAAAAAATGTTAATTTGGTGTATGTACTGTATTTATATTCACATGCATGTAGTGAAAAACGGTTATTTCAAAATTTCAAACAGACACATCAATTTTATTTATATGTATAGATTACTTACCACATTTTCAAAAATGGTGGCAGGACCACTGGAGTACCCTATGAGCAGGTCAGGATCACCCAAACGACAGCACTGCAGCGGGAAGGGCGTAGCATCACAACTGGTCACCTGGATCGTTACTGATGGCTTGATTGGTTTCACTGAGGATCTGCAAAACGAGAGAATGACATTGTAAGTGTATAGGTCTTTTGGCCCCTAATGTAGTATACCTTATGGATGATAATAGAATGGTACACCCGCCTGCGCTAACGGTTTACACTGGCGGGGCACCAGTGGAGGATGGTAAGATGAGCATGAGATCAGGTCAGTTAGCCCATTGTGGTAAATTCACCATGAATTTATCACTATGGTTTCTAAAGTAACCACATATACCATACACTGCTAGCAATGGAGTTATTATTCCACATTACTAACATTCCCCTTCACTCCACTAATGCAGTATTGAATATTAAAAAATTTTTTTTACCCACAATTCACACAGCATCCTTTCCCAAGTTAAGCAAAGCTAGTGTTCACTAAACAATTGATAGAAATACTTGGATACATTTTTTTGTACACACATAATATACATAGAGAACACCCAGACCAATACAAACAATCATACTAATGAATACATGTTGGTATTGTGGGGGGAATCGAACCCACAGCCATCTGAAGTAACTGTGTGCTAAAATATTTTTTTTTATATTCTACTATGATTTCATATGTATGTTTGTATCAAATAAATAAATAATCACAATTTCTTTTATAGTTGTCATTGTTTGGTGATTTACAAATAATTTACACCAGCAATGACAAATCTATCTCTCTATTAAAGGGAGTATACAAAAAATATGTAGCAAAATAATACTAATGAAGTTCCTGAAACTCCTGAGGAACTATAGTATAAATACCTGTGTTTTATTTAGGAGTATAAAGTGATAAATATACTTACCCATTGAGCATGTGCCCATAATAATGGACAACTCCACTCCTGGTAGCTGCAGCAATCTGCAACGAGCTGCCATCATCACCACTCGTCAATGTGGCATCTATAAATCTCGGTGCATCCTCCAATATGAAGCTATACATGGGCGTAGACAATTTGGATATTGAGGTCTTCCGTTGCTTTTTCGTTGGAGATGCATCTCCATTGACTTGGGGTGCGACTTCTTCTGTTATTGTTACATCCCAGAAGGATAGGAGACGTTCATTTCTGTAAAGATAGATAAAAATTTTATTTACGACTAGCTGTTCCCGTGACTACGTCCGAGTGGAATATAATTTTATTTTGCTAAAATAAAAGTAGCCTAAGTTACTCCTTATTAAACCAGCTACCTGCCAATATAAGTCCAAATATGCTAAGCTATTTTAGAGATTAGCCGGAACAAATAGACACACAAAAATTGTAAAAAATCTTTTTTTGGTGTATGTACAGTATTTATATTCATATGCATGTAGTAAAAAACGGTTATTTCAATATTACAGACACTCCAATTTTATTTATATGTATAGATAATTACAAATGCATATACAATAAATTTACATATAATAAATACACACATGGACTCTGTTTAAAGAGTATAGCAATTTCATAGATGACTTATTCCCAAATTTAAATTTAAAATTTAGGTCTGTTGTAGTGTCTGCTTAGCCAGTAGCTCCTCTAGTAGGTCTGCTAAAAATTATTTTACTGTAAATAAGCTTTTTTTTCGGATGACATGGGGAGTAGGGGAGTCTACATGATGATTATGTCATCGATAGTTAGTTATTTTTTTAAACGAATTGCAACCCTCACATTGTTTTTGCTAAAAACAATATGTTGATCAAAAATGTTTACATAATCATGGGGGGAGGGGGTAAGCTTTGCTTACTTTTGTTGACAAGGGGGATGGGGGGGTAAATAATTGTAATAAATCTGCTTACGTAATACTTGAATGACGCTGAGTGTAAAAAAATAATTAATAATACTAACTGAGATCCTTCAATCAGCCAACTTGAACCATTTGATGTAGTCAATGCTAACAACGCGTTGGATGTCGTGTTGTGTCCTAGATTCCGTAATCTTGTGGCTTGGCCACCATGCAGCCTCCACAGGTAGACCTGCCATGACGCTGTCACTATGTAATTAGCCGGTGTGCTCTGTAAACAGGTTTTTTTAATTAGTTGTTGTTTTGTATGTATACTATGGGTAGTTCAATTTTTATTTGTAATTTATGTGAGGGTACTTATATAATTATGATGAATATTAAATAGTTTTGCTTCCAATCTCAACCAAGATGTATCTTTTAGTTTTTTTTTTGTGGATGCTAATGGAATGGTGTACACACCTGCGCTGATGGTTTATGCTGGCGGGGCACCAGTGGAGGATGATGAGCATGAGGTCAGGTCAGTTGGCCCATCATGACAAATTCACCAGGAATTTATCATGATGGTTTCCAGGGGGAACCGCGTGGAGGTCAACCTGACACGGTACATTGCTGGTAAAGGGGTCATGAGTCCACTTTTCTACTAATACACCATCCCCCCGGTATCTTTTAGTTGTCATTACAACTAATTAATGGAACAGGCAAAAGAATTGTACGACGGCAGAAAAATTGATGGGCTGTTCCGTGATAAAAGGGATACCACTAGTGATGTGCCAGATTGTGAAAAATATATATCCTTGGGTATTGATCCAAATATGGAATTTTTTAGGTATTCTCTCTTACATATCAGCCAAGATAGATCAGGAACATGAGTATATTGGCTGGTATAACTAAATTGGCTCATATAAGCTTAATTTATATGTATTGTTATTTTATGTTTGTGTTGATATGACTAGCTACCCACCCAGCTTCACAGAGGTGTACATGTATTATACTTATAACCTTCCTCTTGAATCACTCTATATATTGGTAAAAACTACATCAATATTGACTGTATAGTTTAAAAGATCTATACAAACAGACAGTGGAGGTCACAGCAACTTCATTTTATACTCTGTAAAGATTATTATATATATATATATATATATATCAGTGCTATCACAAGTATCATATGATAATATGATATCCATTGTGATGCTCATGTATATAAGTGGCAGTACTGCTTATTAGAAGGTGGGCTATCACTTAGTTGCTATTAAAATTATATTAAAAAACATGTCTCTGAAATAAATAAAATACATAAAAAATATTTTTCACTCACCAGATTGTGTGGTACGATTTTGATAGCACTTATAATATTTGCTTGTTTATTCTTATTATCAACACTAACATTATATTTAAATTTAACATTTCCTTCATTTATATCCCAATGGTATAAATTGCTTGATTTATTACAGCTGTATAAACCAGATTTCCTTTGCCAATCCAGTGCAGTCACATTAGCGTTCCCTTGTTTAGGACTCTGTAAAACGGTCACTACTTTTGCTTGTGTTACTGAGTATATAAGAATCTTTCCACTTGTTGTACCTAAAACTATACTCTGCGTTTCATTGTCTTGGCTTATAGAATTACGCTTACCACCTTTGCCTTTCTGTAGGCTCTGAAAAAAAAACATGAGGTTATTTTAAAAAAATATTAGCCAATATTGTGATACAATTAAATCATTCAGGATTTTAAGTTTAATGCATTAAACGGAATAAAAATTAATGCTGTATAACTTCAAAACACATTTGTTTCTCTAACAATTGTATAAAAACCACGTGTATGACTTACGTTTGAAACCGCTAGGGTTATCCATTGTAAACAAGTAGGTGGTGAACTTAAATGAAGGTCAGGAGTATACTCCTGTTTCAGGATATTGGTCTCTGTTTCCCATATCCTCAAACGACCGTCTTTACTAATATATGAATAATATTTTGCGTCTTCGGAAAACGCGGCCACTGCCATGGCTCTACATTCGTATTAATGACAGAATGATTGAGAAAATATTTAATACAATTTGACAGTACGAACGCCGTTCCGTTTTTACATCAGGGTTGAACACGGAAGTTCATCACGTGCTAAATCCAATGCTATTTCAAGATATTATTAGTAGATATATATGTTTGTTGTGTTTGATAAAAATTTTTATTATATCTGTAAATTAAATATTAATCATTTTAATATATATTTTTAATTAATAAAAATTTACTTATTTAAAATAATGTTATTCGACTAAAAAGAAACGTGTTATTATGAATGACAGTTGCATGACATTATTCGTATTAAAAAAAATACAATTCTGACTAATGTTGCCATTTTGTATAAAGAGAATAATAAGTACATAAGTAAAAGAATTATAAATTAAAATTTTTAACTTTATTACTTATGAATGTATTTTTCATCATAAAAGACATAATTTATTATTTATTTTAGTTTTTCCGTAGTCATGTACATTATTGACAATTGCTGCCAGTCTATTGAAATACAAAAGTTCCATTTCAATCCAACCAATCACCAATCCAATTTCCAGTTTCACTTTGAACGTCATAAACATCTGTCATAGATTGTAAATTCGCTCTCGTTCCCTTGTCTGTGTCCGCTGATGTAGGCGGAGTTCACAATATTTTCTAGTTTATCGCTCTCGTTCCACTTTTCAATATTATTCTTTTATTTTTATATCTAGTGCCTAGTGTTGTGCTTTCCTCTTTAATACTAATAGTGATGTGTTTCGAAATCTGTGCATAATTTCTCTCGGATATGCTTTTGTGAATTTATGATGTCATATTTGTGCTTGGAACCTTGAAATATGAGTGTCGAAGCGGATGTATCTAGCCCTCTATCTGAAGGACAGAGTGGTACCTTGGATCGGATATCGAAATCGTCATCCGACAGCCTTACTTTAAGCAAGACTGAAGAGGTCGACCCAGGGCAAGATCAAGATGACAAGTCAGAACCCTCTACACCTAAGCCTCATCCGATGGCATTTACCATTGATTTTGGGGAGACCAAGCCAGTGGATAACCGTAGGCTGGAGGAACTGGCGAAAAAATCCCAAGCCAGACATCAAAGAGTTCAATCTATGTCTGCAAGCTTAACGAGACCTAGTCCAGCGCCTCAGAAAACCCCTATGAGTGCTAAACTGCCCAGAAAAGCTCAAGGATACAACTCTGAAGGGTACTTCTCATCAGACCAGGAGGATAGTGGTCTGTCAGGGTCCGTTAAACTACGTAGCAGCCCCCTAACGCAATCTGCATATGTGACCTCCCCAGTAATCAACAGGCACACAAAATCACCAATTACAGATATTTTCCAACCAAAACGTACGTCCAAAAGTCCAATAGTTGATAGTATAATGTCAAGAAGTGATAATTTCACTGCGAGACAAGGCTTGAACCTTCCATTAAAGAACCCTACAAGTTCCTATGTACGAGACATCCATAGAACTCCGAGTTATGGTAACCTGTCATCGTCTTATCAGCCTAAACATAGTAATATAGCTGATATTATCGATCAAAGTCCTGAAGGAGTTATGTTAACTGATATATCCAGTCCAGAATTAGATATTTTAACTCCCGATAATGGCCTATCTACTCCGGAGCATTCCAAAAGTCCATTGATACGAAAGAGTAGAGCATCATCAGAAACACCAGATTTGTTTAAGAAATGCATTCCAAAAGTAGAGCCTTTATATGTTGATGATGAAGTGGATAGGCAGTCAGATAATTCATCAACTGGTACATACACCATCGAAGGTGATAATTACACTGAAGAGCAGAAAGCTCGGATGAGTATAGATCGTACATTTGGTGCTAATTTACTAAATGAGACTGTAGAAGAAACATTGCAGATAGTCAATACTGAAAGAGATCCTGAAATAGTATTTGACTTTCCATCTCTTCAACGGGTCATCACGAAGGAGCCCCGAAGAGATGTTGCACTACGAAGTCCATTAGCTATTAATGCATTAGATTTGCCAAACAAAGTGTCAAAAGACAAGAATGTGTTAGAAATATCCTGTTGCTATGAACCTCCAACAGAAAATGATCTAGCTGCCCAAACATCCAAGCAAATTAAGTCCACACGTAGTTATTTAGAGAAAATTAAAAATAGGGTGCGTACTATAACTGAAAAGACTTTCTCCAAGTCTCCACCGAAGCATGACGAGGATGTGGACGTTGGTAGCTTTACCTCTGTGACCACATCCGGTGTTTTGAGCACTAAAAACCTTGCAAAAGTGGAGATACCAAGTCGAAGAAGATGCAGTTTGACCAAATCTGAAATTGACCAAACCGACTATATCCACAGGCTATCTAGAGAATCTTCTGTGCCTGTTTGTCTTCCAAGCAATAGGGTTCCTTTAGATGCTGCAAAATTCGAGAGCACTGCCTTAAAAAACGCTCAAAAAGCTATGAGAGATGATTCCGGAGTGTCCTCAGATATTACACCAGATCATGTGGTTGGGAAACTGTCATATCTAAGTCTGAATAGATGTAAGGGGGATAAGACTTGGATACAAGATTGGGCTGAAAGTGTCAAGAAATACAATTACGATGGCACATTTCCAGTGGAGATGGATAGGCCTCCAATAAGTCCAAGGCACATCCAGGCTAAACGTAAGTTTTTTTATTTATATACTTAATTGCAAATATTTTTTTAAATATCTAGTAACATCCAGAGACTACAGGGACAGGGCATATATGTACAAAGAGAAAAAAAAATTGAAATGTGATGTGAAGAAATTTATGACTTCTTCCCTGTGTCACACTCTGTCACACTTATCCGATTATTACAAATTTTATGTCACACTTTAAGGGAGAGGAAGTCTCTCTCTTAAAGTGTGACATAAATTTTATATTTTTATTTTTATTGACCACTGTAAAAAACTTGTTTATATATATGACAAGTCATATAGTAATGATATTTATACAATAACAGTTTAATTACAATTATACTAATAAATAATAATACATTAGTGAAATATGTATACAATACACAATATAACTAATAACAATATATCATAATAACATAAATCATAAATAACATATAATTATGTTTTGGTTTATGTATTCTATTAGCTGTATTCGCGACTTCGTCCGCGTGGAATTTAACTTTATTTTTCTAAAATAAGAGTAGCCTAAGTGACTCCTTATTATATCAAAGTCCCGTCAAAATCGATCCAGCCATTTCAGAGAATAGCCGGAACAAATTTTATTTATATGTATAGATAACATTATAAGAAGGATGTATTTCAAAATAAGATATTATTTTAAATTTATATTCTTTGGTAGTAATTATGTTATCTGAATAGCTAGCTTATTATATTTTTTTAATTTTAAAGAAAGACCTTTTCTCTTTTTATTTTCAAGCTTAGGATGTCACTAGTGTGTTTGTTTTTTTTATGTATGATAAAGGAATGAAGCACCCGCCTGCGCTAACAGTTTTGGTGGGGCATCAGTGGAGAATGATAAGATGATGAGGCTATCTGACCTGTTTCAGTTAGTCCATCGTGACTAATTCACCAGGAATCTATCCCACTGGAAACCATCATGATAAATTCCTGGTAAATTTGCCACGATGTGCTAACTGACCTGACCCTATGCTCATCTTATCATCCTCCACTGGTGCCCCACCAGCGTAAACCGTTAGCACAGGCGTGTCCACCATTCCGTTATCATCCATAAAACTCTGTCACACTAGAAATGTGACATGATTATGCTGTCACACAATTTCGACACAAATGTCAATACGTGTCCCGTTACTAATAGAAAGTAGGTAGGTATTTAAAGTCTTATCATTTCGTTATCATAACACAGGCCCGTTCAGTGACAGTAACGGTATATGTGATAATGTTTGTTTGTATTGTTTATTGGCATTATTGTTACCTTCCATTGTTGGTCGAGCGCAGTGATGGCTGGCTCACCCGTCATACTCGTGAACGGGTGCTGCTTGTAGGGACTGGTCTGCTCTAATCACTATGACTGATTTCCTCTTATTAATTGTTTAACCAGTTGGTTATATATTCAATATTTTTCTATTTGAGTATTTAATTGAATTAGTGCTAATTGATGGCTTGTATTCACACATAAACTTAAAAATGTAAAGTAATAATAAAATTATTTAAAAGAGCAACACGCAAGTTTCTTGCTCGTCTTCTTTGATGAGACAGCTTTCCGAATGAGCGGTAGATTAAAAAAAAATAATGACTATTCAAAATGGCTTCAATGTAATTGAATAAATAATTTTCTATTCTATTCTTCCCTCTCGCCCCGCATTAGCCATATAGATAGATAGATAGATAAGTTCTTTATTCAACAATTACAAACACATAGCATACATGAGATATTTTATAAATAGAAATAAAGTTTACAAATTAAATATGCAGAAATATAATGTTACAAAGTAGAAAATGGAGGTGGCTTTATGTGTCCCAATGATGTAGAGGAAACCAACTCAGCATGAAGGTACAGATAAGTCTGCAGCGCTGATATTCTGTTGGCTCCTATAATTAAATACATACATATGCTACGCCCCCACTCTGGGGTCGAGCCCTCGCAAATATGGAATGTTTACAAGTGTATAAATATAAAAAAAATAAAACAAAAAAGAAATCTGTCCTCAATTATGGCACAACACGTAGTAAGCTTTAAGTAGTTTTTCTGTTTCCTTTTTTTATGTATACTTGCCCTAGGGGCTTTGATCTAGCCTCCCGGAGGTTGTTGCCCTCGGAGTAGACGCCGGGTCAAAAGGGTTCACCCCGAGACCCAATCTTCACCTCCCTAGAGGGTGCGGAAGACCAGACAGTCAGAATTATTATTACTTCTCTCTCTGCCCAGCACGTTTCCATTTCATTTGAGGTTGACTTTCTTCATCAGGCTCAATTGTCCTGGGGCATCAAGTCGGTTACTTTCGTTTTCTTTAGGTCGTTCTTGGTAACTGACTGCCTTGTTAGATTTCCTCGCAGGCATTAATGTTACCAATATTAATCAAGCAATTAGGGACCTTTCTTTGAAGATTTATTAAATGCACAGCTCTGAATAGCTGTGCCCGCGACTTTTTATATATCGAGAAGCCAGGAAAGAAAAAACTATAATAATAATATCTCAACACAATTTACACAGTACTAAGTAGAACTGTTATGGGTACTAGACGACAGATTTTTTTTTTACTACGATGGTGGCAATCAAGCATACGGTTTATCCTGAAACACCAGGGGTATCACTTGCGCGTTGCCGACCCTTAAGAAACCTTAATATACTCTTCTTGAAATACATTGATTGTATTTTCATGTTTTTTATAGTTACATTGCATAATATATATAGGAAACACCCAGACAGACAAACAATTATACTCAGGATAATATATAAAATATATCGCTTTTGCAGCCATAAATACAAATGTTTGTACCGTGTGAGGAATTGAACCTACGATCATTGGAAGTAACTATACTAACCGCTAGACCACCGAGACTGTCATCAATAAAAAAAATATATAAACTTAGTATCCTAAGCTAGAAGCTAAGTTGGGTTAAATTGTAAATATTGTAATCTTCCTCGTAGTTTAGATACTTATCTATCTATCTCTACGGGCTGTAAATTTACGTAAAATAAACTTTTATTTTACGTAAATTTACAGCCCGTAGAGCTTAAGTCTAGTTTCCAGTGGGTTGTTGGCCCCGGACCTGCACCCTCTTGTCCCTTCCAGACCTGAATTATTTTATTACATCCCATGACTTTGGTAAATACGATGCGTCTAAAGTATAATAAAAAGAAAAAAAATTGCCTTAAATTTTTGAAAACAAATTAGTAGTACTAAATTTAATATTTATAAGTAAACAAATGAATACAATCGTTTTCAATCAGAAATTATAATATCGTTTTAAATGATATTTTAAGTCTACGACTGTGCACGCCAGTTTTGAAAGGGTTATGAGGTGCGGATGAGCAGGTTCATTCGATATGGGACTGCCACTAGCTTTCTGTCGTTACACACAAGCCTTGCTCCATTCACAACTTTTATTTTTCTAGTTCATATATATATTTTATTAATTACCCGCGGCTTCGCTCGCATTGAATCCTTTTTTTTTTATTATAAAGTATCCTATGTTCATTCTAATACCTCCAAGAACATGTGTACAAAATTTCATGATGATCGGTTCAGTAGATTGCGTGAAAGCGTAACAAACATCCATATTTATAATATTAATCCCCTCCGTCACATTTATAATATTAGTAAGAATATTCATCGCAAAAAAAGAAGAAAGAAAGAAAAAAAAAAATATGTTAATAACCTTTATAAAAGAAACATTTGATACAACAAAAAAGGATTCTTAAATACAGAGTGCCTTCTGGCAAAGGCATTGATACCTTTAATATTTTCCAGTGTACTAATGTAAAAAAGTACTTTTATATAAATTATGAAATCGGTCCATACTACAGTATGTACAAAATTCCATCTATATAAGATTAGATAGATAAGTCAGTAATGTACAATGAACCTATTATCTTATCATAGGAAAGTGTACTTTATGTTAATGTGACTAATGTAAATAATCATACATCAAGATTAGGAAATTGTTAGTGCATTCTACTTCATGTGTTGAAAAATTACACAACGACCTTGAGTGGGCGATGGTATTTCATGACGATGACGTAATGCTGCTCCCACCTTTTTTTTAATTTGTAAAACCCTCATGTAGAGAAACGCTACTCAAGAATTGTTCAACATTATAACAACGACTACCTTTTACCATCGACAGGGAATTAATTCCCATACGCTACAACCTAAGTGGTCTCGGACAGTGCGGTTTCAGTCTTCTTCCCATGTACACTTAGATTGTGGTATGAACTACTTGCCGAGGTTTTCTTACGAGACTACAGCGTGTGGTTTTTCAAGAAGGGTATTTTATTAAGGCTTCTTAAAGGTAGATAACGCGCACGTGTCACCTCTGGTGTTTCAGGCGTCCATATGCTACGGTAACTGTCTGTCTGTCTGTTTGTACTATCAGATAGGTCGTATGGTTGTTGGTCACCATTGTGGTATAAAAAAAACATGTTTTTATATCATGTTCAGACAAAAATTAAGACAGATCATTTAGCCGTTATAGTGCTAAAGCATGGGGTTTTTCAAGAACGGTATTCTACGGGTATTCTCTTCCATTCCTCCCTGTTCGCAGTCATCTCGTTATTTAATCCCTTTCTCACCATATCATCTTTCACACAGTCCATCCATCTCTTTTTCGGCCTTCCTCTACCCTTATAACCATCCACATTCATATGCAACACCTTTTTCAAATTATTATTAGTATAGATATTATTAATATTATAAATGCAAATGTTTGTAAGTATGTATGTTTTTTACTCTTTCACGCTAAAATTACTGAACTAATTTTCATGAAACTTTACAGTAATATAACAAGCTGTATTTTATATTGAAATATAACGCCAGTGAAAACGCGGGCACAGCTAGTATTATATAATAATATCCTGACATATCCAAATTGTTAGCGAACTTTTGTAAATAAGCTAGGATATATAAGGGCACATGAAATGCGTGGGAGTTCTTGAAGCGATCTTTACATATAAATAAAATTGGAGTGTCTGTTTGTAATATTGAAATAACCGTTTTTTACTACTTACATATGAATATAAATACGGTACATACACAAAAAAAACACTTTTTACAATTTTTGTCTGTCTGTCTGTTTGTTCCGGCTAATCTCTGAAATGGCTGGACCGATTTTGACGGGACTTTTATTGGCAGGTAGCTGATGTAATAGGGAGTAACTTAGGATACTTTTCATTTAGAAAAATACAGTTAAAATCCACGCGGATGAAGTTGCGGCAACAGATAGTAGACAAATGAATATGTACAAGAAAACATCATAGCGCCGTCACATGTCATTCCTACAATTTCTAAGTCATTTCCCAAAAGAGGGAATCGTTGAATTATTTATAAGTGTTCCATATAGTTCCGAATTTCGTAGCGACGTTAAGGTTAGATATATGACGACCTCGGTGGTCTAGCGGTCTAGCACACCGCTTTACGACCGATGGTCGCGGGTTCGATTCCTCGCACGGCACAAACATTTGTATTCATGAATATAATTGTTTGTATCGGTCTGGGTGTTTTCTATGTATAATATGTATGTATTTACAAAAAAAATCTAAGTATGGGTCTAGATGGCGCTGTATGAATTGTCCTGAGATTATTATATTATATTATTAGATATAGATATTAATCTAATATATAAAGTTCTCGTGTCACACTGTTAGTTGCCATATTTCACCAAAATGACTTAACCGATTTTGATGATTTTTTTATGTATACTCTGTAGGTATCAGGTATGAGAATAGTTTGTTATCTATTTTTATAACCCTTAAGTGATAAGAGTGCTCCACCCCAAACTTTAATTTTATATTTTTTGGACAAATTTTGATGATGTGGCAGGAATACTGAAAAATGTACCGTGAAACGGATGAGTTATGTAAAAAAGGATATGTATTAATGAGGAGTAAGATCAGGTATGACGGCTGATAAGAATCAGTGGAAGATGACATACAGAGCCGACCACAAGTAACGGGATAAAGGCAAGGCAATGATGTGACATTAAAAATACATACACTTCTAAATTCTCACCCTTCTACAACCAGATATGTATTTTTTAATAGCTATATTATTTTATATGACATATCGTTTGCCACGTCAGCTAGTATATATCTAGCCGATCCCTCTACGATATATATATATATCTCATTGATATTATATATACATATGTGTATAAATTATTTTTTCTATAATCTAATTATATATTACTTTAATTGAAATGTTTATTGTTACAGCGCGCAGTCCCCACTGCGTTACTCCGACCAAGATACCCAGCCCCGTGGGTACACTTCTGCACAGGAGAACACCGGTAAGTCACAGGTTCATTATAGTAACTACCCCCCCCCCCCCCCCTCACACCCCTCCATCCCTACTACTTTGCATGTGGATAACTAGGTTTTACTTCGCTCGCATTGAATCTAAAAAAGTATCCTATGTTTATTCTAATACCTTCAAAAACATGTGTACAAAAATTCATGATGATCGCTTCAGTAGTTTTTGTGTGAAAGCGTAATAAACATCCATACTTTCACATTTAAAATATTAGTAAGGATAATAGAAGTTGCACCCGCGTTCGTGTGCTAACGGTATCGCTGGCGGGGCACCAGTGGAGAATTATAATAATATCTGTGGACATCTCACACAGCGCCATCTAGTCCCAAGCTAAGCAGAGCTTGTGTGCACCCCGTCTGATACAAACAATCATACTCATGCATACAAATGTTGGCACCGTGCTAGGAATTGAACCCGCGACCATCGGAAGGAAAGCGGTGTGCTGAACCCCCAGACCTAATGGCTAATGGCAATCGCTCCTCGAACCAACCGGGTCCCGGGTCCGGCTCCAGTGGAGGATAAGATGAGCATGAGGTCAGGTCATTTAGCTCATCGTGACAAATTCACCAGGAATTCGTTGCCATTCCGAAGGACTAAGGACTAAAATGCTATAATTTCACTAACCTATCGCACCCTTCAACCGAAACATGTAACAAAGTTGTTTGGCGGATCAAATAAATTTAGATACCCACGCAGACAAAGTTTATCTCAATTTATTAGCTAAGTTTTCACTATGTAGAATCAAGTTGTGCTTATTTGGAAGTGTGGTAATGGATTTTGTCACCTGTGATCAAGATTATGTAAAACATGGTCCAGTTTCTATTTATGTAGTCGTTGCCATATTAACATTGTAATTCAAAAGTCAATCAGACTGTTTGGTTCAAGGCTGAACTCAGTATATTCTTAGATCCTAAAAAGTCTAAACTTTCATTATGCAGTAAACTGGTTTTCGGACTATTCTAAATGTATGATGCACACTAGCTGCACTAGCTGCAATAGGTCACTAGTCCTGACCGATTTTGTACCAAGACAATCTTAGGATAGTAGATACTATTCATCTATTATCCTAAGATTGTCTTGCTTTCAGCAATAAAGCCGCCTAATTATATTTATTCATATATATATTTCGGACTACTTTAGAGCTGTTGGCCGCAGCTGGCCTTTACAGCTTCACCGGACGATAAGTGACGAGTGCAGATGGCACTCCAAAGTGCCAAGGAAGGACTTATGAAGTTGCTGAAGGCAAACTCCTGCCTAACGGCTACGACTTTAATTTCAGGGTACCGTACCGTACTAGGGGTTCGAACTTTGACTCGGGCCGTCCAAATTTCGATCCCCGTTTGAATTAGACGGGGGATCAATCGGAGGGTACAAAAAGTGTGTATTTTTTATGTATGACAATGGAATGTACGTCAACGGTATACGTAGGTGGAGCTCGAATAGAGAATGATAGGGTAAGCATGAGGTCAGATCAGTAATCGTGATGAAATTGCTAGATATTAAACACGATTTTTTCCAGGGGCAACTTAGCAGAGGTCGACATGACATGGTAGTTAGCAACTAGAAATAGAAATATTCTTTATTCAAATAAACTTAATATAAGCACTTTTGAATAGACAAGTTTTTTGATTCTACCGCTCATTCGGAATGCAAACTCATCACAAGAAGAATGAGCAAGAAACTTGTGTGTTGCTCTTTTAAATAAATATTGATTCACTTATTTATTATATCCTATATAATAATTATAAAATATTACTTCCTATTACTATCATTAAGTGTATTCAATCCCCTCCCCCCACCCCCAAATAAGCGTATCAAACTATATTACACTTATTTGCAACAAAATATTTGTATAGAAAGTAAAGAAGGCATAAAAATGCCCAGTTTTTTCTGAGTGTACTTGTATTTTGACTTCTATTCTGGTATCACGATCTTACCACCATCTTTCGGAGTGATTAAATTTGTTATCGGTGATACTTTCACTGGAGTGTCAGTAAAACATATTTATTTATGTTAGAAAGATTAACGGTGTAATATTTCAAGTTACTAATTGTACTGAATTGTCCTATTTTTTTTTATTGGGTTGTTTGGGCTATGGTCAGATGTTTGTAGCACCTGTAGCACTGCGACCTACATAGATCTATTGTGCTCGCCCTTTTTCAAAGCTCGCTACCTAGACCCGCCCTACAATTGTCCTATGCCAATTAATCTTCACGAATAGTAATTTTTTTATGGTACATATCTCACTGATTTGAATTCAAGACCGTTAAGGTTTGTTTCGAGGTAAACCACTAAACTAAGACGTTCTGCTTTACTAACGGGTTATTATCAGCGCTGCATATATGTACATATATAAATAGTATTAAAAGACGTGTGTTCATTGAGTTAATCGTTATCGTAGTTAACGGGGACGCGATTTCCTCCAACAGTTAAAATTAGTGTACTTAATTATGCAAGTGTATGTAGAGTGGAACTGTGAGAGGTTTCACTCGTGACTCGTGTTTATTTTGGGAGTGACAGAGATTTGTTTTTAATGGTATCATAGTTACTATAGCACTATCTGTATATATAAAACTAGTAGTTAATAGATAGAATAGATAGAGTGACTCAAGAAGAAGGTTTAAGCTATATAACATCCCACTACTGAGCAACTATCTTTAATAGCGCGATAACCTATAGTCCACGCGGGCGAAGCCGCGGGCGGAAAGCTAGTATTATTTGTATTATCGTCCAATTCAGTATACAGATTCAGTTGAGAAAGAAAGTCAACTGAATTTCTATTTTTTAACTTCACATCATTACTTAATAGATTATATGATACATTATATTATATATACACATATATGTACCGACACCTGTGGTCAACCCTAAATCAACAGCAAAAATTGTTGATAAACCACATCCTGTAGTATCTTGAAAACGATTACGCCATCTAGTCCAGTCTAAGGTTAGCAGAGTTTGTGTTATGGGTACTAAACAACTCATATACATATTTTTTTGTAAATACTGCCTGACTTCATTCTCATACAAACGTGACATAAAAATATGGTGCCTACACATCACTAAGTCTCGCACTCATCCATTTAAATTCAAGTGACAATAATAAATCAAGAGAACACTTCCTTAATAGTTACATACATAAAAAACAAATAAATAGACTCATAGTAACTAACTACGCTACAGTCTTGTAAATAATAGTTCGCGAGTGAGATCGGTCGGTTTAGTTCGCTGCTCTTTTGTTCTTGAAACTGGTTTGTTCCCAAATCTAGTCAGCGGATGGCGCGAAGTAGGTTGCGCAACTTTTCTCAACCTAGTGTTTTTTTCTCCCAAATATTATTATTATATTATAAACGCAAAAGTTCGTGAATATGGATGGATGATTGGATATTTGTTACTCTTTCATGTAAAAACTACTGAACTTATTTTGATTAAACTTTACAATAATATAGCTTCAGAAATATCATCAGAATAACACATAGGGTAAACTTTAAAAACATGTAAATTGGGCGAAATATATTGATAAATGACAAGTAAGTTTGATGAAAACGAAGTTGCACTGTCAACTAGTAAGTTAAAGGTTTTCTCGAGAGATTACAGCATGGCGTTTTTCAAGAAGGGTATATTAAGGTTTCTTAAGGGTCAGCAACGCGCACGTGACCCCATTGGTGTTTCAGGCGTCCATAGGCTGCGGTAACCGTTTACCATCAGATATGCTTGTTTGCAACCACCGTAGTATAAAAAAAAATGTTTTTATTTATAACTTTTTGCGTCTTCTCTAATGAACTAAAGAGCGTGAAACTGCGAACTAGTTGGTCTTTCTGTGCGCTCTTCTGAACTAGTTTGTTCATGTACTACACAAGTCTAGTACGCTAAGCTAAATTTAGCGTTAAACCCACGCAAATACATTGTTGCAGTATTCAATCGTTTTAACATCATGTTTAAGTCCAATTTCAATTATAGCACGTAACCACCAGAGACTTGTAATTAGAACTGATGAATAGTAGCACATGTTCATTGTTTTCTATTCTTGTTGTATTTTATAAAATTATTCAGTTCAACAGTTTTTTTTTATTGAAGGTTTTGGGCCTTTATCAGTTGCTAAGACCTGTAGCGCTGTACAGATCTATTGTGCTCACCCTTTTTCAGAGTTCGCTATATTTGCTATAGCGTGATGTTATGTAGCTGAAGCATTCCGTGATAAATGGGCTATCCAATACTAAAAGAATTTTTCAATTAGCAATAGTAGTTTTTGAGATTAGCACGGTCAAACAAACAAACTTCTGCGTCATATTGTTAGTGCAGATAATAATTTATTTTCAATTTATGTTTGGCATTTTCCTTCGTCATTGCTTTAATATTGTTAGTTTATTTCTATTAATGAGTATGATTATGATTGTATTGTCTGTAATATACGCATAGGTATAAAATATGCACATTTAAGTTTTTGTATCGGTTGGCTAATACTCATAACACAAGTTCAGTTTACCTTTGGACGAAACCAGTGTAAAAAATATCAGTTGTATCTTACTTCTCTTCTCTTCTCTTCTTAATGTGATTTCAAGCGTTTCCTTGACAATTTACAAAATTGTTTCTTAGCGGATGATTATCAAAATACACTTTTGTTGTAAATATTTGTTACTGTCTAAAACAACATTGGATTGCATTGATGCTTTAGTACTAACTAATAATTTATATTTTATATTTTTCTGTAACTGGCCGCTAAAAAATAAAAAAATAATTTTAATACCACGCTTTCAAAACCACACGCAACACCTAGCTTCTCATTTGTTGCTAATACATAAAAAATCCAAACCGATGCATGATGACCAACTGGCTAGAATTTTTATCAAGTTCAATAACCACCTTCATAACCACTTCACGTGTTGAATCATCGTGATTAGTCGTTTCTAAAAATCTTTATCTATCGCATTTATATAGCTGTATATGGCAAACCTGATGCCTATGGTCATGCCTTCA